TGCCCAGAGTGAGTTTCAAGCCACCAGGTCTGGGACTTGAACTGCAGTCGACTACATGGGAGTCTAGTGACATAGCCATTATGCTAACTGCTGGTCCCTCTTCCCTGGATCTTTGGCATGTATGCACACATGCCCAGAGTGAGTTTCAAGCCACCAGGTCTGGGACTTGAACTGCAGTCGACTACATGGGAGTCTAGTGACATAGCCATTATGCTAACTGCTGGTCCCTCTTCCCTGGATCTTTGGCATGTATGCACACATGCCCAGAGTGAGTTTCAAGCCACCAGGTCTGGGACTTGAACTGCAGTCGACTACATGGGAGTCTAGTGACATAGCCATTATGCTAACTGCTGGTCCCTCTTCCCTGGATCTTTGGCATGTATGCACACATGCCCAGAGTGAGTTTCAAGCCACCAGGTCTGGGACTTGAACTGCAGTCGACTACATGGGAGTCTAGTGACATAGCCATTATGCTAACTGCTGGTCCCTCTTCCCTGGATCTTTGGCATGTATGCACACATGCCCAGAGTGAGTTTCAAGCCACCAGGTCTGGGACTTGAACTGCAGTCGACTACATGGGAGTCTAGTGACATAGCCATTATGCTAACTGCTGGTCCCTCTTCCCTGGATCTTTGGCATGTATGCACACATGCCCAGAGTGAGTTTCAAGCCACCAGGTCTGGGACTTGAACTGCAGTCGACTACATGGGAGTCTAGTGACATAGCCATTATGCTAACTGCTGGTCCCTCTTCCCTGGATCTTTGGCATGTATGCACACATGCCCAGAGTGAGTTTCAAGCCACCAGGTCTGGGACTTGAACTGCAGTCGACTACATGGGAGTCTAGTGACATAGCCATTATGCTAACTGCTGGTCCCTCTTCCCTGGATCTTTGGCATGTATGCACACATGCCCAGAGTGAGTTTCAAGCCACCAGGTCTGGGACTTGAACTGCAGTCGACTACATGGGAGTCTAGTGACATAGCCATTATGCTAACTGCTGGTCCCTCTTCCCTGGATCTTTGGCATGTATGCACACATGCCCAGAGTGAGTTTCAAGCCACCAGGTCTGGGACTTGAACTGCAGTCGACTACATGGGAGTCTAGTGACATAGCCATTATGCTAACTGCTGGTCCCTCTTCCCTGGATCTTTGGCATGTATGCACACATGCCCAGAGTGAGTTTCAAGCCACCAGGTCTGGGACTTGAACTGCAGTCGACTACATGGGAGTCTAGTGACATAGCCATTATGCTAACTGCTGGTCCCTCTTCCCTGGATCTTTGGCATGTATGCACACATGCCCAGAGTGAGTTTCAAGCCACCAGGTCTGGGACTTGAACTGCAGTCGACTACATGGGAGTCTAGTGACATAGCCATTATGCTAACTGCTGGTCCCTCTTCCCTGGATCTTTGGCATGTATGCACACATGCCCAGAGTGAGTTTCAAGCCACCAGGTCTGGGACTTGAACTGCAGTCGACTACATGGGAGTCTAGTGACATAGCCATTATGCTAACTGCTGGTCCCTCTTCCCTGGATCTTTGGCATGTATGCACACATGCCCAGAGTGAGTTTCAAGCCACCAGGTCTGGGACTTGAACTGCAGTCGACTACATGGGAGTCTAGTGACATAGCCATTATGCTAACTGCTGGTCCCTCTTCCCTGGATCTTTGGCATGTATGCACACATGCCCAGAGTGAGTTTCAAGCCACTGGTCCAGAATTCAGACTGCAGTCAGCCATATGGAAGTCCAGCAATAAAGTTACTGCTATGCCATGTGCTGGCCCCTATAAAACCAGATCTTAAAACTTGTCCATATCTTCTCAATCTCTAGGAATAAGACTAAAACATTTATCATTTAAAAAAAGAGTTATTTATCTATTATTATTGTTTTAATTTGCTACATGTGCACTCACCAGAGAGAGAGAGAGAGAAAAGAAAAAAGTGAGAAAGCAAGTGGCTAGGTCCAGGATTCGAACCATGGTCAACAAGGGAGTCCAGCACCTTAATCACCACACCACCTGCTGGTCTCAAGAATTTATAATTTTTTAAAGATTACTTTTATTTTATTTCTTTATTTTTTTAATTTGACCAGAGAGAGACAGAGAGAAAAAAAGAGAAAGTGAGAAAGCAAGCCACCAGGTCCAGGACTTGAACCACAGTCAGCCATGTGGGAATCAGTGCCTTAACCACCATACCACCTGCCAGCACCAAGAATTTCTAATTTTTAAAGCTCTCCAACAATTCTGATGATCAGGCAGATTTGGAAAATCTCTTGGTTTTCTTTTGTGATGACAGTGAGTAGCTGGGGCCAAGGAAGGAACTAGGACCCAGCCCCTGAATGCCAATTAGAGACACTCTCCCTCAATCTTCTGCCTCTGCTGAAACCGTATAATGTTAACACTAAGTTCAGATCATTTCCCCTTCATAAATGAAATGCTGGAGTCCTACCTGCAAAGTCAGGAGTGCTCCTCCAGCCATTTTACTTAACCAAAAGAATACTAACTCACTCCAGTCCAAGTCTATAGCAGTAAGAGCACGGAGACCCCACGCTGCACCGAACGACTGCACTGCAGGGTCCTACCATAGTCCAGACTCTTTACTTTACTTACTTTCTTTCCTTCCTTCCATCCTTTCTTCCTTTACTTATTTATTTATTTATTTAAATTTGACCAGAGTGAGAACAAGAGCGAGGGAAAGTAAGAAAGCAAGCTGCCAGGTCCAGGACTCCGAACCACGGTCGGCCATGTGGGAATCCAGTGCCCTTAGCCACCACACCACCTGCCAACCCGGAATCCAGCGCCCTTAGCCACCACACCACCTGCCAGCCCCATAGTCCAGACTCTCAGCATCTTTACAACAGATCATCATTTAGGTAACCTACACACGGTAGTAATTCCAATTATGCAAATATAGATGCTAAAAAACTATTAACATTTGTCTATTGATTTTGGTAGCAGATTTCTTCCAAATTTTGATTCTCCGGGGATACCTTCAGATCAATGGGAATTTCCTGCAAGCATGCAAACTTGTCATAGGGTGGGTTAGCCTGACAATGCCTGGGTGGGGTCAGAGAAATGCCAGCGTGGGCCTAACAACTGACTGGGGTCATACATCATGGCCTTGTGTGACCTACTCTCACGGATACTTTACCCAGCTGACAGCACGACACGCTGACAGAGGAAACCACCAATGCCATGGGAGAGGGTAGAGCATACTTCAGAAAGGGGACGCACACACTACGCAGTTGACCTCTCCAAAAGGGTTTTGTGAAATAATACAAGAAAACTGTCTCTGTTTTTCTTCTTTGGGTCTGAGGTCAGTTTTTATAAAGTCCAAGACACGAACAAGCCAAAGGAGAGGCACGGGCATGGGGGCGGGGCGCGGAGAGGGGTCTTCCACGGTAAGTGCCACGTCTGATCTCTACAGCCGACTGAGTCATCATCTTCATTTTCTTTGTTCGCTATTGGGCATGTGCGCTCGCCAGAGAGTAAGAGAGAATCATCCCCCGTCATGGCCATACCACAATCCCTTCTCTATTCTCCTCCAGGGATTTGACACGTGCACTAAGCCGCCCAGCATGGTGATTTTTAAGCCGTCTGGTCTAGGACTCCAACCACGAAGTCGGCCATGTGCATCCGTCAACTGCACCTCCACATCACTTGCCAGCCCGACCAAGTCACATTTTTACAGCACGGTTAGAAATCAAGAAAACCCTTACATTACGTCCCATTGGAGAAAAATGGTCAAAACCAAAACTGAAAACAAAACAAAACAAAAACAAAACAATGAATTTTGGAAAGAAGGAAGCCTCTAATGCAGCCTGTACTGCCAAAGGCAACGCAGCTCGTAAATAAACTACGCTAGAGCGGAAAGAATCTCCAAGTCCTGTTCCAGTCCAACCTGCGGTTTTACAGTTGAAGACACAGAGGAGCAGATGCAAGGTGACACGTCCACAAATACTGGGGAGCACGGCTGGGGCTCACCTACAGGACCCCGACACTTTGATCACTTTATCTCCTATCAGTCTGGATTTGGCTGTTTGATGAATAGTATGGAGTGGCTCTGAGGACTTCTGAATACCCTCCCAAACACCATAATGCCTCAACTTTCACCCCTTCTTTACTGAAGCCTATCGCTGGTCCAGATTTTTCCTGAATTATGGCTAAAAATTAGTTTTTTGCTTTTTTTTTTTTTTTTTTAAACGTTAAAGACAAAGTTTTGCTCCATCCACTGATCCTCCTGCCTCCTGCCTCAGCCCCCATCTGGGACTGTAAGCACACACCACCACGACTGCCGCATTTTTAGACAGGGTCTTGCTGTGCTGTCCAGGTCCACCTTGGGCTTGAGATCGCTGTGTCAGTCTCCAGAGCTGCCGGGCTTAAGGGCACATGCCACCACGCCTGGCCTCTAGGTTGGACTGGAAATCAAACCCAGGCCTCCCAGCCTGCAGAGCACCGCACCTTGGTGGTATGAGGCACTGCGCTGAGGGGGCGGTTTCTGAACTTACACCTTCTGAGTAAGGCACCATGCCAGGTCGCACGGAACGCACAGGGACAAGATGTGCTGTGTGTGCCTGGCGACAACGCAGCTGCCTTCACGTGAGTGTGATGGGGGAGAGCGTTCTGAGCAATAACAGTAAAGAAATTTGATGATTTCAGCCTGGTTCCTGGTGAGAACTAATCCACATCACGAAAGTCCAGCGGTCACAGCCCTCCTCAGACTAAGAACAGCCAAGATGTCAGCACCAATGTAAGAATAAACTCTGCAGATTTCAATAGCAGAGTTTCTACCCGGAGCCCTTGGGAGACCAGGAGTAGGCCTGAGGACAGGAGAGGGGCCTGCTGTGATCCAAAGGTATAACTCCTGGGTCTGGCCAAAACCCGCTGGAGACATGAGCTCCAAGAAAGCAAATGTGACTTGCTCAACGTTTCAGCTTTGGGGGTAATTTCAATGAAGCGACAGAGAGAACCGAGGGTGGGTTCGCCCCACTCCTACCTCCCAGTGACCAGCAAGTTTGGGTGGAATCTCCAATCCCAGCTTCTCCAGCTGCTGCTCCCTGTACTTCTCATACTGCCGGTACCCTGCATACCCGCCACCTGTGGCCAGCAGAATGGGCAAGGGACGCAGCAGGAACAAGGCTCGGGCAGGGGCAGTGTGCACTTTTCTGGCACCTGTAACAAAACACAGGAAAACGTTGAGTCTAGGAGATAGGAACATGGAAGAGCCGTGTAAACAGGGCACCAATGGGAGGGCCAGGAAAGGTCAGGGAATCCCAGGAAAGGTGACTGGCTCCGCGAGGCGTCTGACAGGCAGAGGCAACCTCGGGTCGCTACTGAGCGCGTCCTGCCTCCAAACTCTGTCAGCGAGGACAGGACAGGCATCTTTCCTGTGGAACGACGAGGTACCTCGATTGGCACCATAAACGCAGAATTTCAGATGAAAACGCTGAATCACAGAGATGCCAAGAAACTAATCAGGGCTGCCCGGCTGAACACCAGCAGGTCCAGGGCCCGGAGCAGGTACATTTTTTCATCCAGGGTTCCCTGCCGCTGCTTTTCCACTTCAGATGCGATTCAACCAGGCACTGGTATTCTCAAATGCAAACCTCGCTCTTACAACCCAACAATTAGAAGACAAATAATCAAATTTAAAAACGTACAAAGAGGGGACTGGCAGGTGGCGTAATGGTTATGTCGCTGGACTCCCACATGGCTGACTGTGGTTCGAATCCCAGACCTGGAGGCTTGTTTTCTTTTCCCCTCTCTCTCACTCTACCCCTCTCTGGTCAAATTTAAATTAAATAAATAAATAAACTTAAATAAAATCATTCTTTAAAAAAAAAGAGAAAGAGGGCCAGACGGTGGCCCAGTGGTAAAACATGATGCTCTGCGAAGGAATTCTACATGAGAATATTTCCAGTGCAGCTCCAGAGACTCCCTGAATACACTGGGCACACATGTGCCCACAATTTGGGGCCGGCTGAAAGCTTGTGGTAACCTGTGGTGTCAAGACTCTGCAAGGGTGACACATCCTTCTCTGTCTCTCTCAAAGAAGAAATAAACTTTTTTCAAAAATGTGCAAAGAAGGGGCCAGCCGATGGTATAGCAGCTACATTGCTGGACTCACACATGGTCGACCATGGTTGAAGTCCTGGATCTGGCGAGCTTGAAACTCACAAGAGGCACATGTGCATGCATGCCCAAGATCCCAGGAGGAGAGCAGAGGAATTGTGGCATGGTCATCCCCCTGGGAGGTGATTTCACACTCTCCCTCTCATTCTGTCTCTGGCAAGCGCATGCACCGTATAGCAAAAACAAATAATAAAAAGGAATGAAGTACTGACATTGCTATAACATTAACCTTGAAAACATTACTTGAGGGACCAGCAGATGGCATAATGGTTACGTTGCTGGAGTCCCACGTAGTTGACCACAGTTCGAGTCCCTGACCCAGTGGCTTAAAACTCATGCTGGGCATGTGTGTGTGTGCCTAAAATCCCAAGAGGAAAATAGAGGAGAAAAGATTGTTGCATGGCCATACCATGGCGGGAGGTGGGGGAGTGATTTCTCATCTTCCTTTACACTGTCTCTCTCCAATAAGTGCACATGCCCTAGGGCAAAAACTTAAAAAAAAAAAATGGGGGTGGGGGGAAGAAAAGAAAGGGGAAAAAAAAAAGAATTAAAGAATGAGTTTACTTTAGTACAAAAATATTTTGAGAATTAGATCCAGAAAGTATTTTGAGAGTTGCTCCATGGTGGAGAAGTAATACACGTAATACACTGCTTAAGAGAAAGCACGCTCCACACAGTGACAGCAGCTTGAGTCTCTGAACAGTCATGAAACATGCCAGGCAGACACAGAGTGCCCAAGATCGGGAACGTGTGTGTGTGTGTGTGTGTGTGTGTGTGTCTAAAATCCCAAGAAAAGAAGGGAGGAGAAGGGACTAGTGTGGCCATATACCCTGGGAGTGGATTTCTCATTTTCTCTCTCTCTCTCTCACCCCTAGGCAAGCACACATTTCTTATAGCAATTTTTTTTTGTTTTGCTTTTGGAGATTTTTTTTGCTATAGAGCATATGTGCTAACCAGAGAGATAGAAAGCAAGAAATCACCCCCTGGGGATGTGGCCACACTGCTATACTGCCTTCTCCTCTTGGGATTTTAGGCACACGCACATGCACCCTGCATGGTTTTTTGGGGGAGAGGTTTTTGCTATAGGGCACATGTGCTCACCAGAAAGACAGAGAGACAGACAGAAAGCAAGAAATCACCCCCTAGGGGGGATGGCCACGCCACAATCCCTTCTCCATTCTCCTCTTAGGATCTTGGGCACTCATGCACACATGCCTGGTGTTGAGTTTAAGCCACCAGGTCCGGGACTCAAACTGCAGCTGGCTACATGGGAGTCCAGCAACACAGCCATTACACCAACTGCTGGTCCCGCGCTCTGCATGACTTTCAATCTGCCAGGTCCGGGATTCAAAATGCAGTGGACTACATGGGAGTCCAGCGACATAACCATTATGCCATCTGCTGGTTCCCCTGTAGCAAATTTTTCAAAAGGTAGAAAAGAAGGGGATCACAGCACGACTGAACACGGTGGAGGGCGCATCTTTCCTTCCCCTGCCCATACATGTTTATGCCATCACAAATAAAGGAAAAAAGAGTTTGAAATTTATGTTGTTTTTTTTTTTCAGAATACGTGTTTTCCACGAACTTTTTGAAGACCCCCGTGTATGAGCCAATCGGTATGTTAACCTGCACCTCATTATGTGTGTGTATATGTCGTGTATATATATGTGTGTGCACATGCATAGAAATCTATCAAAACATCACGCTGCATACTTCAAATACATACAACTACAAAGCCCTCAGGAGCCGAACAGTCAGCAGCTTGTAGAAAGCCAGAGAGCAAACCCTCCCCACTGCCTATGGCTTCTAGGAAGGAATCATCTTGTTTCCTGCATCACATGCTTTGGTCATTGTTGCTGGTCTCGTTCTCACATGAGCACACGTGGCTGTCATTAGTCTCTTCCCTTGCCTAATTATTTCTAATGAGCCTTTACCAACTTAACAACGAAATACTGTATCTTTGACCAAGAAATATTTGTCAAAAAGCAAGAACTCTTTCTTTCTCCCTTCGGTGACTGCTGTTACCTCCCCTGCACTGAGGCAGCAGCCCACCCCGACTCGCCGCACTCTACGGAACGTGCTCTGCCAAGCCAGACCTTTCTCGGATTTGTAGGTCTCACTCTCGGGCCTTTTCAGAGCCTTGATTTACTCCTGCAAAAGCCGCAGTAGGTAGAGAATGTCCAGGCTCCTGACCACGTCCCTGCTGGGCTGATCACTCTAAAGAGCTATGGCTGGTTTTCTACAGACCCAAGATGACAGCCTAATTTCAGAGGCACTGCCTCCACCCTTGATGTTATTCTTCCAAGTTCCAGCACGAGATTCCAAATTAAGCAGGTAACATCAGATACATTCCTATTGACTACCACACTACTAAGTTTTTTATTGTTCCCATTAACCATCTCATCTTCTTCCCTCGGCAGTCTTATTGGGCAGTTAGAAATAGCTTTTGGGGGGGGCAGGTGGCACGGTGGTTAAGGGTGCTATACTCCCACATGGCCAACCATGGTTCGAGTCCCAGACCTGGCAGCTTACTTTCTCACTCTCTCCCTCACTCTGCGTGTCCCTCTCTGGTCAAATTTAAATAAATAAAGTTAAATAAAATAATTCTTTTAAAAAAATAGCTTTTGGCATGACAGACTCAAAAGGATACTTAGATAATAAAGACAATACACATCTTCATAGGAGTTCAGAGGAATCTGATCTCAATCTCACAAGATCGAGAAGTTCATAATCCACAGTGCTGATAAGGGTGGAGAACTGGCACACTCACATGCACCTCCTGCTCATATGAGTATAAACCTATTCAGAGAACAATTTGACCTAAATGCCAAAATGCAAACTACACAGACTTTTTCTTTCTTTCTTTTATTTTTTTTTTTAAAAAAGACTTATTTATTTAATTCTATTCATTTATTCCTTTATTTTAATTTGACCAGAGAGAGACATAAACGAGAGGGAAAGTAAGAAAGCAAGCTGCTAGGTCCAGGACTCGAACTGCAGTCAGCCGTGTGACGCAAACCAGGAACTCTACCCCTACCAATGAATCTGTACTACAGAGCTGTCTAAAGGAGAAACAATATAAATTTCCAACACCAGATGGTACAGTCACACAAAAGAATACTATGCAGCCAATAAAAGGGATGAGGCAATACTGGCTAATGTTTCAGTAGCTATGCATCCTAGGCACTCTACGCACGGTCCACGCACCACCTAATTTAATTCTAACAACGCTACATTCACACCAATTCACACAGGGCGGGCCAGCATCACTGCTAACTGCTCCTTACCTGTGTGAAAGGCTCTAAAAGGCAGGTTCCAAAGGGACTGGAAATGGTTCTGGGCAGTGTTTTCACAGTGGCGAAGGCTGTAACCAAGCAAAAACCAACCATTAATTGTCTTAAAATTAAAAACAAAGTTAGTGCATCACTGCCAAAATTTGAGTTTTCAGATGCAGTAACAGTATTGCAGCAATGTGGTTTTGACAATTGTATTGTGGTTAGGTAAGAAAGATCCTTATAGAAAAAAGGCTGAAACAAAGTATCCTCAATTCATCAAGTTACTCCTAAGGGTTTCAGAAAAATAAACATAACCACATCCATACATACAGGGAGAGACAGGGTAAGGAGAAACAGACAAAGCAAATAGGGTTGACATGCAGGGAATTTCAGTAAAAGCTATTTGGGAATTCTATCTCCGTAGTCTGATTTCACAAGCAAAAGGGGTTTTCTGGGGCCAGCAAGTGGCGTGGTGGTTAAAGGAGCTGGATTCCTATGTGGCCAACCACAGTTCGAGTCTCAGACTTGGTGGCTTGCTTTCTCACTTTCCCTTTCTTTTTCTCTCTGGTCAAATAAAAGTAATAACAAATGGAATTAAATAAATAAATAATTTTTTTTAAAAAAAGTGTGTGTTGGGGGGGTGTTCCTTTTGAGCCAGCCAAGTGGTGTGGGTTAAGGCAGCTGGATCCCATATGGCTGGCTATGCGGTCTGAGTTCCAGATCTGGCACCTTGAAAACTGCATGTGTATGTGTGTCCAAAATCCCAAGAGGAGAATGGAAAAGGGACTGAAGTGTGGCCATCCCCACTGGAGGTTGATTTCTCACTTTCTCTTTCTCTCTCTGTCAGGCAAGCACACACATCCTATAGCAAATTTTTTTTTTTTTAAAGGGGGAGGGATTCTTTCTTAAACATAAGGACATAGTAAACAGTAAAACCAGCACTCTTATACAAAGCCATGTTTCTGTACCAGCAAAGGGCTGTGTGTAGGTCTGTAAACATTAGAACCCCAAAGCATTAAAGACTCTAGTGCTTCAGATAACTCCACTTGTAAGAGTTTTAAACGTCTGTATGAGGGCGGCAGGGAAGATGGCACAAACCCACCACGTTGAGCTATTCTAATCTACTTCAAGTCTGGTTGGACAGTTGGTTTAAATTTTTTAAATAATCCTTGTGGCTATTTTACCACAAAAGCTATATTAACAGAGTGAATGAGTTTCAAGCTGAGAAAAAAATTACAAATCATTTTCATGATTTTAAACTCTAAGGAAGTAGGACCAGCAGATGGCGTAATGGTTACGTCACTGAACTCCCACATGGCTGACCATCATTCAAGTCCCAGACCCAGAGGCTTGAAACATGCTGGGCACATGTATGTGCATCCTCAAAATCCCAAGAGGAGAATGGAGGAGAAGGGATTGTGGCATGGGGGGAGGGGGTGATTTCTCACTTTCTATTTCTCCAGAAGCACATGTGCCCTATAGCAAAAATTTCTTTAAAAAAAGTTCTAAGTATTACTCTGATTCCATTTATTTTCTTCCTTATTATTATTATTATTTTACCCTCTGTCACAATCTTCCCAGCTAGGACTACAGGCATGAACCACTAGGCACGGCTCCTTTCCAGACAGGATCTATGTTCCCCAGGCCAGCCTTGAGCTTGCAATTCTCCTGGCTCCGCGTCCTGAGTCCCTGGAACTACAGATGCATGTCCCGCACCTGGCCTTTAGGGTGGACTGGGAATCAAGCCTGGGGCTCCCCTGTGGTGCTAGCCTGTGGGAACAGCACCTCAGCACTGTGAGAGCACAGCTGGCTGGGCGGTTTCTCTTGCCTCACATTTACCCCGAGCATCAGACATATCCCTAGTGGCAATAAATGATGATGCCAGTGGGCAGAGCGTCAGTGAACTTCCAGTTAGCAACTGGATCTCCCTCCTACCACATTCATGTTCTCTCTAAGACAGAAAACAAGATCAGACCTTACATCTTGCTGACCTTTCAGATCTCCTGCTGCTTCCGCTTTCTTCCTCACTCACTGCCACGCCTTGTACATGCCCATGTGGGCCCTTTCCACACCTCTGTGTTTGCTCTTTGCTCTACTGGGCACACCCTTCTCCCAAGTGGCTCATTCTCTGTTCAAATGTTCCCCCCTTCTCAAGAACTCAAGTCTAACTCTGTGGCTAGAACCAAAGCTGTGCCACGTATTAGCTGTGTAAACCTGGGAAATTGCAACTTTTTTTTTTTTTGGCCAGAGGGCATGTGTGCTCACCAGAGAGAGGGAGAAGAAAGCATCCCCAACAGATATAGTCAGCTACAATCCCACCTCCTCCATCTATCCACCCTGTCGGAATTGGGGGTGGATAAGCACAGGCATCCTGCATGTTTTTCAAGCCACTGAGACTCAAACTGCAGTTGCCCACGTGGGATCCAGTCATTAACCACTGGACCACACGTTGCCCCAGTTCAACTAACTCTTAGCCTAAGTTTATACCCACCTGTAAAAAGAGAACCTATTTCATTAAAAGTGAGACGGGGCCAACAGGTGGTGTGGTGGTTAAGGGACTGGACTCCTGTATGAACTTCAGTTGAGTCCTGGACCTGGTGTGAGTCCCAGATCTCACAGTTTGAAAATCACGTCGGGAATGTGTATGTGCATGCCCAAAATCCAAAAGGAAAATGAACTGCAGCGTGGCCATCCTCCCTGGGGATGATTTCTCATCCCTCTCTCTTCCCCTCTCTAAAAAAAACCCCTGTGTCCCCACCCTCCCCCGCCCTTAAACAAAAAAAAAGTTTAAAAAAAAAAAAAAAAAAAAAGATGTTAGGCAAGGACATGGCTGTGTATACAGTAGACACTGCTGCACAATGCTAGAGTCAAATGACATGGTCTGGATTCAATTCTTCGTTAAACTTGAACACAGCAGATAGGCCTGTGGGTGCCTATGATCCTGACTGGCAGGAAAGCTGGAGGGGAAGGGGGAAATTAGAATACGGCAAGACCCTGTTGGAGGTCCTTGCCCCACCTGTTTCTCTCTTATTAAGTAAATAAATGTGTAAGGAGTGTCATTTTTTAGTCTTCCCAACTCATGACACACTTTAGAGGAATTTATGACTGACTCATAAAGAGCACACCTGCTAACACTGAAAACAGGGAGTCTCCTGCCCAAATCCCATCTCTCAGAGCCTACTCTGAGAGAACCAGCCCAATCCTGAATAGCGATAGGGTGAAGCTTTCATCACAAGGCCCTTAATGGTATCTGTTCACTCTCCGTCCAAATCCAATGTCCTTTTACTCCCTAAGACTATGTTAAGTCACCTCTTGTCACAGTGCAAGCTTCAGTCAACATGACAAAATGACCTTGCCAGAAAAACATAAGTATGGTGCGTCTCTCAAACCCTAGCTCTTTGATATGGCACCAAGCAGCCAATTCTGCGTCACAGCTACCAACATTTTAATCATTTTCTGAGAGTCGAGATGCTCCCAAGCTATTTCTGTGTAATAAGCTATTTCTGGGTAATAACTGCCCTCAAGGTGGAGAGCCTGAGGGAAAAGTCTGTGTGTGAAAGACAAACACCCTGGAGTCCTGTCTCTGCAACTGTCTGGGTGAACTTGAACAAATCCCTTACTCTTAGGGCCTCAAGCTCTTCAATTTCAAAAAGCAAAGACCTGATTTAGAAGACCTCTCAGGAGTCTTCCAACTCTAAGAACCTAAGAGCTGGGAGTCACTAGGGTAATCAAGATCCAAACCCCATAACAGACTATCCTGAGATTCCTAATCTAACCCTCTTGCTTTAAAGACAAAAATCCCGGAGTGAAAGCCGCCGGACTCCCAGTCCAGGGCTCTGCCAACTCCAGGCCGCCCCTTCCAGGAAAACGAACGCCTACGAAAAAGGCTTTCAGCCTGTCTTGGCTCTAGAGACGGGCAGGCAGCCTTTTCCATCCGCTTTTTGTCTCCCGTGCACTTCCTCCGAACTGGATGGCAAAACAAGCGCATCTAGTCCACATCCTAATGAATCCGGGCTGTCTGACGCGGGGGTAGTTGCACCTGCTCCCGAGCTCCAGGGGAAGGTGGCTCCGTCTCCACCTGAGCTCTCCTTCTGGCGAGCTCCCGAAAGACCACGACTCCTTTCTCCCAACCCCGGCGTGGCCCAGGCCGCCCCGGCGCCGCGCAGCGTCCCCTCTAGGGCCTTACCTGCTCCGCCACGGTGCGACTCTGCACAGCAACCGCAGACACCCGGAGCCCACGGACGCAGCCATCTTGCCTCCTCCTTTCCAGCGAACCACGCCCCCCTTTAAGACGCCGGGCGCTCGCGAGTGACGACACGAGCCTCCAGGCCAATGAGGAACGCGGACGACTGGGGGCGGAGCCGAGTAAGCCCCGCCCTGTGGCGACTTCCCAAGCTCCATCCCTGCCTGGCACGTCCAGGGCAGAGAGGGCAGGTGTGTGCGCTGGCAGCACCGGATGCGCCAAACCTGGGCAGGGGCGCAGCCCTACAGGGTCTCCTTCTCGCTGGCGTCTTTTTCTGGATGTACCCGGACATTTTGAAGCACCCCAGGACTGAAAATGTCCTATTAACTGATCTAACTTACCCTCCCTTTTTTTTTTTTTTAAGAAAGTAATTTTTTAAAAATCTAATTTCATTATTTTTAATCTGACCAGAGAGAGACAAGAGAGGGTGAGAGGGAAAGTGAGAAAGCAGGTTGCCAAGTCTCAAATTCGAACTGCGGTCAGCCATGTGGGAGTCCAACACCTCGACCACCACGCCTAACCGGCGGACCCTTAATTTGCTCAGGACAACTCAGCTACCTTTTTTTTTTTTTTTTAAGATTCCCCCCCCCCCCTTTAATTTGACTGGGAGGGGGGTGAGAAAGCAAGCTGCCAAGTCCAGGACTCAAACCACAGCCATGTGGAGTTGAGCGCCCCAACCATCATGCCACTTGTCAGCCCCTCAGCTACAATTCATTGAGTGGCAGGCTCTGTTGAGCACTTTACAATCATAGTGTCATATTCGAATTTTCAGCCACTGTGCTGCCAGGGACATCAGAAGCAAGAGGTCTTGGATCATTTAGAAACACACTTAACCATCAAGAGATGTACCTAGTGTGATGGTGCTTGCTCCTGCAGAGGTTTTGGAAAGATCTTTGGTTTTAATAGAACAAGTTTTGGAGGACCAGCAGTTGGTATACTGGCTATGTCACTGGATTCCCATGTAGTTTCTGCGGTTCGAGTCCCAGATCCGGTGGCTTAAACTCAAGTCGGGCGCATGTGCATGTGTGCCCAAGATCCTGAGAGGAGAATGGAGGAGAAGGAATTGCGGCATGGCCATCCCCCCTGGAGGGTGATTTCTCACTTTGTCTTCCTGGTGAGCACACGTGTCCTATGGCAAAAATCTCTCCCCCCAAAAAAATAAATAAGAGAACAAGTTTTTGATGTAGTACCTATTTTATTTTTAATGTTTACTATAGGGCTGGAAAAGAGAGAAAACCAGATTTTTTCCTATGTAATTTTTCATTTATTTTTCCTTATTAATTTATTTTAATTTGACGAGAGAGAGAGAGAGAAAGCCACCAGGTCCAGAACTCAATTATGGTCAGCTATGTGGGAGTCCAGTGGCTCAACCACCACCTCACTGCCCCAGAGTTATTATTTAATGGCTACAGAATTTGTTTTGGATGATGAAAAGTTCTGAAAATGGTGGGCCAGCAGGTGGGGGGGGTGATTAAGGTGCTGGACTCCTACATGGCTGACTGGGGTTTGAGTCTCAGACCTGGCAGCTTGTCTTTCTCTGGCCAGTGCGTGTGCCCTATAGCAAAACATACATACAAACAAACCAAAACACCATTGAAGTGTACATTTACAATTGGTGAATTATATAATTGTAAACTCAATAAAGTTGTCTAAAATCTCTCATCTCTATTGCTGGAATGCAGAAATACACTTCATATTTGTATTTGAGTTTATATCTAATATGATATTTGATGTAGGTGCTTATATTTGATCTAAAAGGTTTCCCTTTTACTTCTACTATGTATATGGTTTTTGTCTTGAGTGATTCCTTATCAAATGTAATCTTTGTCAGAGGTGATCATACTTTTTTCTTTAATTCTGTTAATATGGAGACTGCATTGACTTTCCTTTTTTTAAAGAATTATTTTATTTATTTATTCATTTATTTAATTTGACTAGAGAGAGACAGAGAGAGAGGGAAAGCGAGAAAGCAAGCCACCAGGTCCTGGACTCCAACCGTGGTTGACCATGTCGGAGTGTCCAGCACCTTAACCAGCACACCATCTGCTGGTTCCCATCTTTTTTTAAAGGTTTATGCCATAGGGCAAGTGCACTCCTCAGAGAGAGATAAGAGAGAAAGTGAGAAACCAGTGGTTAGAAAAGATGGCTATGCCACAATGTCTTCTCCTCTCAGGAACTTTTTTTTTTTTTTTTGAGAGGTTTCTGCTATAGGGCACGTGCGCTCGCCAGACAGAGACAGACAGAGAGACAGAAAGCGAGAAATCACCCCCAGGGGGGATGGTCACGCCACAATCCCTTCTCCTCCATTCTCCTCTCGGGATCTTGAGCATGCATGCACACGTGCCCAGCGTGAGTTTAAGCCACCGGGTCTGGGACTCGAACCGTGGTCGACTACATGGGAGTCCAGTGACATAGCCACTACGCTAATTGCTGGTCCCAAGGAGGGTGATTTCTTGATTTCTGTCTCTCTGGTAAATGCGCACACTCTAGAGCAAAAATCTCTCAAAAAATAAATAGTAAGATGAAATCTCACGATATTACAGGTAAAACTTGAACCTACTTCCAAACATTAATAACAAAATAATAGCCTTGAGGGTTATTCGAAAGGTTTTCAAAAAAAAAATTTATTTTCATAAATTAACACACAGAACAGTGGGAATTTTAGAGTCACAAACTACCAAACAGAAAAGAAACTGTAGGGGCATCGTGTATGCCAACATTACCAAAAATGTACAAATTTCACTGAACTATTGACCATGATCATTTATAAACACTTCAGGCAGCTATTTACTGGCCCAGACCACCCCAAGGAGAAGCTGAGGCCCCTCACCTAGAATGCAAATCCAATTCAGCACCAGAGAGGAGCCTGGGGGCACACGATGAACAGGCATCATGTCTGAGAGTTCGCTGTGCAAGGTGGCGGCTGAGATGAGGTCTCCCCGCCGCCCAGCTTCCCAATCACAATAGCTTTGGCTGCTCCCTTTGTGGCTAGTGATATTAAACCATGATTTTAGTCAAGTTGCTCTCCCTGGCCGGCTTTTTATCTAAGTTCAGTTCTGGTAAGGAGCACCTTCCTTCCAGGAATCCAGGAGAGGATACTCCTCATCTCTGGCCAAATACTTATGCTTTGGATACAGACACCCACAACGTGGTTAAGAGGTCCTTTCCATGATGTCAGGGAAACAGTTAATGGAAACAAAACAAAACAAGGGAATGAGAGAAAGCACCAACTTCGCACCACCCCCAACGCTCAGGTAATGGGAGAAAAGTACATCTGCCTAGAAGTTGTTCTTCCACAGACCTTTACATACATGGTATTGATTATGAGATGGAACCCCAGCCTGGGGCGGGTTTCATTAGCTGCACGGCTGCCAGGGATCTGCTGCCATGGTCCTGCATGCTCCCTGCCGCTCTTGGCCTGGTGGGCAGAGAAAGAGCCCCGGGAGGGGGAGAGGGGGAGAAAGGACCATACCCAAAGAGTGCGATCGGGAATCCACCCCACGTTGGCTCAGGTACCCACACAAAAGGCTCTTTCAGGCAAAATCAGAACAGAGTGTCATGATTTTCACAGCTCATGGAGGAGCGCCGAATTGGGGGGTTCACAGCATGAGTTTCCGAGCTCTTTAGGCTCCGAGTAAGGCAAACGCTACATATCTTTTCACTGTATCTCTCTCAGCTGTAGCTCTTAGAGTAAGGTCAGTAAGAAAAAGTGGGCATAATCTGCTTTTCCAGGTGATGAGGTACGTTCAAACTGAAGGAGAAATGAAGCTGGAAAGAAGATCAAAGGGAAAAGAGAGAGAGAGACGGACGAGGAGAGTGTGTGCAGCTGGGGGAGGGGGGGCTGCACATAGAGCTAGAAAAGCAGAAAGATGAGAAGCAGACTTGAAGGTTTCGGTGAAAAGCTGATGGGCAAAACCCTGGTTGGACCTGAGATTTCTCCTCTCTTTCCCATACTAAAACCACTAGACTTCCCGAGGTGAGTTAATTAAGTCATAGTGAACTATAACTTCCCACCATTTGAGTGGGAAATCCCTATACTGAGAAGTTGTACCAAGTTCCACCCCAGAACCAGACCTCCTGTCGCTCTGGGCAGGTGGCGTGCCAGCGGCTAATGTCCCCATCATGGCCGGGGACCACAGGCTCCGAGAACCACTGACAGTGCTGTGTCAGTGGCGAAACTGGATGTTAAGACAGGTGTGGCTGGGTACGACTAGAGCCGGATGTATCAACTCCAGTAGGAAGTTTCAAGTTTGTGGTGGGGGCCTCTTCATAACTTGGAGTAGGGCAGGGCCCTCGGCAGAGGGTAGGCTGAGAGTGTCAAAGAGAGGCCTGGCTGGCCTCAGAGCAGCTTCTCTCCAATCTTCCCAGGAGAACGGAGAAGCCCAGGTCTCTTTCCTCCAATCCTTTGTGCCCAGATGCCAATGTTTCAAACTGCTTTGCCTGGCCCTTCCCAGTGCCACGCCTAGGATGAACAAACCTGAAGCCGTACCTCTGTCAGGTTGGCGACACCACCTCAACTTTCGCCTGACAGGGCTGCCACGTGCCGACTCGTCTGTACCAGCTGTGGGGCTGGCAAACGGCCGCTGTCCACTCACTGCTAGTTCGTGAGCTGCCCAGCAGGAGCTCCCCAAGTATGTCTGCATAAGGGCACAATGTATTACTCACCCCATTCCTTTAAACAAAAGGTAGAGAGAAGCATTTAGTGTCTAAGAACCCTGTCCCAGGAAGGGAGAGGGATTGAGGTGAAGAATAGGTCGTGTCTATACAGTCTGGGCAAAGTGGATGTAGACGGCAGAATCTGGTTAGCATCACGCACAGCCAGCATGGAAACGTGGTTCTCTTCTAATCCTACTTGGCCGTGGCCTTAGAAGCCTCCATGGATGACTGAGTGTGTATTTCACTTCCCTAAATGCTGCATCTGAGGCAGCGGGCCTAGAAGATAGACGTGGCACTTTTTTTTTCCTGCTCAAGTCAGTTTTTCTGCTCCAGTGTGGCATAGACTGTCAACCTGTAAAGGAAAGGCACATAGAGACCACCCACCCCATCCCAGCTCCCCACCTAACAAATGGGGAGACAAGAAACCCAGGAGAATGGGCCAATGTTCCAGGATGGCACCACTCACTCCACTCTGACTTGAAAATGTCCCGGGAGCTTCAAATGTTCCCATCCGTGGCTGCTTTGTGGCAGGAGCTCCTGGGAAGATGGGAAGAGGTGACCGGTATCCTGAGGCTAGTTTTACCATCCCACTCACCAGCCAAGGAATGTTAATTCTCTCAACTCTTGTTAGGAGAAAGATAAATCACAAGAGAGGAGGAGGGGAGGAGGGGAGCCGGGTGAGGGCAAGTAGGGACTCAGTGGGGAGGGAAGGAGGCCTCCAGGCTCTGCTCAGCAGCGAACACTGGCCCAGACTCCTGCAGGCACACACCCAGAAACTCAGCTAACACGGGCATTTGACACTTCCAGTAGGTTTGACCCAGAAGCCCCGAATTCAATGAGGTGCTCTCTGGAATTTTGTGGTTCCACCACAAGTAGGCCATGTCTGAACCAGTGCCCTAACTCCCTGCTCCTGGAGCAGTGCTCTCACAGCTGCGGACACTCTGGGTCAGCTTCTCGCACCGCCGCAGCCTTGCACCAACCCTGTCACATACCACCATTTCAGATAAAACCACTAAGACCATACCCAGCATTAGTATTTTTTAAATAATGGGGAAAGAAACCTGCTCCTACTTATGTCACTAAAATAAATACGTGTACCTAGTGGGCAGGAATGAGAATCCAGATGGAAAAAATGCTCCCTCTGTAAGTTACACTAGAAGGTGGAGTGGGGAAAGACTGCTTGAGACACAGGAGTGGGAAAACGTCTCTTCCATGCACTGATCAACGGAGTCTGATGCCTAGCATGTATTCTTAAGACATCTATTGTCTTCCTCTTAATGTCTTTTAAAAATAGTTTTAAAATCACATTTAAAGGCTCCAAACATGCAGCAACAATAATAATACCGAAAAAGAAAAAAAAGAAAAAAAAAGGGAAGAAAGGAGGAAATAAAATAATGAAAGTAACACCACAACATTAAAAAGTGCAACTTACTTTGAATGGGGCCTGGACGGGCTCCTCTGGCACTAGTGACCCACAGTCACAGAGAGGGAAAAGCCACACACACACACACATACACACACACACACACTCACACACACACACACACTCTCTCTCACACACACACACACAGATAGGTTCTGAGTGGACAGAGGCAAAACGATGAGAAAACATAATAGCTCATCTTTCTTCAACTAACGAAATGAGCCAGTGAGACCACGCAGGACAGGATGCCATGTCCCCCTCCCTAGGCCTTGTTTCTAAATAATCTTGGTCTAGCACCACCGTAAACAAAGCAAAACTTTCATATGGACATGCAGATGCTGTGCAAATGCTGTGAGTCCTTGGAATCCTAGTGTTACTGAAGATATGCTGCTTCTTTCTCCTGTGGATGGCAGAGACTGGGAGGAGGTGGCCGGATGTCACTGAGGACCATTTCCAGGAGAAAGGGAACATTCCTGAGGTTCTATACTCAGCAGTTGAAGTAGAGGACTCTCCTTCGCCAGTTCCTAAAAAGGTTGCACCCTAAAATAGGTCATAATTCATGGACTGCATTTTGAGTGGTTTGGGCAGTAGGACAAAATTAGGCAACCTCTTCTAAGGAGGTCCAAAAAAAAAAGAAGAAATCGAACATTGAGACCACCCCCCAAATTGAATGGTTTCTCAACAACCTGACGACCGCTCTTGTTCCTCTTCCTTGGCAAAGAAGGTCTCCAGTTCCATTAGTTTCTGTATCAGAAGAGCATCCAGCTCCTGGCTCTGCAGAGCTGCTTTCTGGGCCCTGGTGAAGCTGCCAGCCACCTTGACTTTCCCTCGAGCTCTTCTCTTTCGTGGGACTGTGAAGTCCTGGAATTCTAGAACTCGCTTCCGCTTCTGTTGGCTGACTGAGATCAGTGTACCATTTCGTTCCTTGGGTTCCTCAAAGATAGTCTCTAAACACCTAAGGATGGAGTGCAAAGCAATTAGAAATCACCTCTCGGGGGATAGCCATGTGCAATCCCGTCTTCCTCATCCTCCTCTTGGGACTTTGGGCACATAAGCACCCATGACCAGTGTGAGGTTCAAACTATTAGGTCCAGGACTCAAGTCGCAGTCAGCGTGTAGACATCGAGTACCTTAATCACCAGGCCACCTGCTGGCCCTAAATAGACCTTTTCTGAAGTGAAAACACGGGAGAGCTCCATCAGTCACTTCAGAAGCCATCTTTTTTACTTCCCAAGTGTGTGAACCTACCTGTTTGCAGGAGGAGACTTGTAATTCTTGTTGGTATATATTTCTTCTAAACTAAACTCCTTTTTCTTTAACCTACAAAAAGAAAAAATAAAAAGTAAGTTCATGCTCTCTCAGAACAACTTAGTTTCCCAACTCTATCCTTTTCATTCATTTACTTTAACTGTTCTGTAGTGTTAGATGTGATTCCTACGTGTAATATGTACTGGGCCTTAGAAATGATATATTCTTCTCTTCTTTTAGTGGTTGGCAAGAATTTTAATTTGTATATTCAGCAGATAAACTGAAGTGAATCAACATTTTTACTCTTTTTCCAAGCAACACAAGGTGTTTTGAACTCTGATCAATACTGTCCCAATTTATTGGTGTTGAAGTGTATCATTTTACCTTTTTGATTTTTATTTATTTTGATTTTTTAGATGTTTTTGCCTTAGGGCATGTGCGTGCACGTGAGCACCTGTGCACAAGATAGAGACAGAAAGACAGACAGAGACAGAGACAGACAGACAATGAGAGGGAAAGTAAGAAATCACCCTAGGGGAGGAGAATGACCACATTCCAATCCTTTCTCCTTCTGGGATCCATTCTCCTCCTGGGATCTTGGGCATGCATGAGCACACACACACTCACACACACACACACACACACCCAGTGTGATTTTCAAGCCACATCTGGGACTTGAACTGTGGTTGGCCATGTAACCACTATGCCATCTTCTGGCCCGCAGGCATGAGCTTTAAGCCACCGGGTCTGGGACTCAAACACAGCTGGTCATGTGAGAGTCCAGCGATGTAACAGTTATGCCATCTGCTGGTCTCTCCCCTTAAAAGTATTTCCTTTGGGGACCTGCAGTTGGAATCGCTATGTTGCTGGACTCACATGTGGTCGACCGTGGTTCAAGTCCAGGACATGGTGGCTTAAACTCACGCCAGGTGTGTGCACATGCGTGCCCAAGATCCTGAGAAGAGAATGGAGGGGAAGGGATTGCGGAGTGGCCATCCCCCCTGGGGGGTGATTTCCCGATTTCTGTCTCTCTGTCGAGCAAATGCACCCTATAGCAAAAACCTCTCAAAAAAAAAAGTATTTCCTTCCATGAGAGGAAGGATGGAGGGGCAGGGATCTCCCCTCAATCTCCATTGCAGCCAGCCATCACCAAGGGCGCCCAGGGTGCATTCAGGTACCTTGTGGATATAAACCAAGAACCCCCTCATATAGACTCCAACACTGTGCAGTAGGACCCCACCGCCTGAGCTACGACGGCTGGACCATCTGTCTCTGTTTTTATTTTGTAATTTACTTACTGAAGAAAGCAGGTTGTAGGCCAGTCCCATAGCCTAATAGTTAAAGGAACAGATCCCACACAGTCAACCACAGTTTGAATCCCTCTCTCAGGGGAATAGAAGGGATTGTGTAAGCACACCTCACTGGCTGATTTTTTCACTCTCTTTCTCCCTCTCTCTTCCTAGCGAGAATATGTGCCGCCTGCAATGAAACAAGAAACTAACAACAACAAAAATCCTCAGGTCACTTAACCTGAGGTTCCCCCAGTAAAGATGGTCTTCTTCTCGTTTTTTAATTACTTATTTAATTCCATTTATTATTACTATTTTTAAAAATTTGACCAGAGAGAGACAGAGTGAGAGAGAAAGGAAAAGCGAGAGAGCAAGCTGCCAGATCCAGAACTCGAATTGTAGTTGGCCACGTGGGAATCCAGCACCTTTAACCACCATGCCACCTGCCGGCCCCAAGACTGTCTTGTTTATATTCCCATGGTGTCATGTAGCATGTTCCCTTGATCCAAATATAAGAGAAATATAGGGATACTGTGTAAATTAGCAGTTTAAGATAAATGTATACTCAGGTTTAGGTGCTTTTATTCCTTTGGTAGACTTGCGGGGCTTGGTGTTTACTTCCATCACGTGGGGCACAATACTGGATTGTCAACGACCACCGGTAGATGCCAACAATATTTGCTATTTCTTTTTCTTTCCTTCTTTCTTTCCTTTTCTTTCCTTCTTTCCTTCCTTCTTTCTTTCCTTCCTTCTTTCTTTCCTTCCTTCTTTCTTTCCTTCCTTCTTTCTTTCCTTCCTTCTTTCTTTCCTTCCTTCTTTCTTTCCTTCCTTCTTTCTTTCCTTCCTTCTTTCTTTCCTTCCTTCTTTCTTTCCTTCCTTCTTTCTTTCCTTCCTTCTTTCTTTCCTTCCTTCTTTCTTTCCTTCCTTCTTTCCTTCCTTCCTTCTTTCCTTCCTTCCTTCTGCTTGAGACACAGGAGTGGGAAAACGTCTCTTCCATGCACTGATCAACGGAGTCTGATGCCTAGCATGTATTCTTAAGACATCTATTGTCTTCCTCTTAATGTCTTTTAAAAATAGTTTTAAAATCACATTTAAAGGCTCCAAACATGCAGCAACAATAATAATACCGAAAAAGAAAAAAAAGAAAAAAAAAGGGAAGAAAGGAGGAAATAAAATAATGAAAGTAACACCACAACATTAAAAAGTGCAACTTACTTTGAATGGGGCCTGGACGGGCTCCTCTGGCACTAGTGACCCACAGTCACAGAGAGGGAAAAGCCACACACACACACACATACACACACACACACACTCACACACACACACACACTCTCTCTCACACACACACACACAGATAGGTTCTGAGTGGACAGAGGCAAAACGATGAGAAAACATAATAGCTCATCTTTCTTCAACTAACGAAATGAGCCAGTGAGACCACGCAGGACAGGATGCCATGTCCCCCTCCCTAGGCCTTGTTTCTAAATAATCTTGGTCTAGCACCACCGTAAACAAAGCAAAACTTTCATATGGACATGCAGATGCTGTGCAAATGCTGTGAGTCCTTGGAATCCTAGTGTTACTGAAGATATGCTGCTTCTTTCTCCTGTGGATGGCAGAGACTGGGAGGAGGTGGCCGGATGTCACTGAGGACCATTTCCAGGAGAAAGGGAACATTCCTGAGGTTCTATACTCAGCAGTTGAAGTAGAGGACTCTCCTTCGCCAGTTCCTAAAAAGGTTGCACCCTAAAATAGGTCATAATTCATGGACTGCATTTTGAGTGGTTTGGGCAGTAGGACAAAATTAGGCAACCTCTTCTAAGGAGGTCCAAAAAAAAAAGAAGAAATCGAACATTGAGACCACCCCCCAAATTGAATGGTTTCTCAACAACCTGACGACCGCTCTTGTTCCTCTTCCTTGGCAAAGAAGGTCTCCAGTTCCATTAGTTTCTGTATCAGAAGAGCATCCAGCTCCTGGCTCTGCAGAGCTGCTTTCTGGGCCCTGGTGAAGCTGCCAGCCACCTTGACTTTCCCTCGAGCTCTTCTCTTTCGTGGGACTGTGAAGTCCTGGAATTCTAGAACTCGCTTCCGCTTCTGTTGGCTGACTGAGATCAGTGTACCATTTCGTTCCTTGGGTTCCTCAAAGATAGTCTCTAAACACCTAAGGATGGAGTGCAAAGCAATTAGAAATCACCTCTCGGGGGATAGCCATGTGCAATCCCGTCTTCCTCATCCTCCTCTTGGGACTTTGGGCACATAAGCACCCATGACCAGTGTGAGGTTCAAACTATTAGGTCCAGGACTCAAGTCGCAGTCAGCGTGTAGACATCGAGTACCTTAATCACCAGGCCACCTGCTGGCCCTAAATAGACCTTTTCTGAAGTGAAAACACGGGAGAGCTCCATCAGTCACTTCAGAAGCCATCTTTTTTACTTCCCAAGTGTGTGAACCTACCTGTTTGCAGGAGGAGACTTGTAATTCTTGTTGGTATATATTTCTTCTAAACTAAACTCCTTTTTCTTTAACCTACAAAAAGAAAAAATAAAAAGTAAGTTCATGCTCTCTCAGAACAACTTAGTTTCCCAACTCTATCCTTTTCATTCATTTACTTTAACTGTTCTGTAGTGTTAGATGTGATTCCTACGTGTAATATGTACTGGGCCTTAGAAATGATATATTCTTCTCTTCTTTTAGTGGTTGGCAAGAATTTTAATTTGTATATTCAGCAGATAAACTGAAGTGAATCAACATTTTTACTCTTTTTCCAAGCAACACAAGGTGTTTTGAACTCTGATCAATACTGTCCCAATTTATTGGTGTTGAAGTGTATCATTTTACCTTTTTGATTTTTATTTATTTTGATTTTTTAGATGTTTTTGCCTTAGGGCATGTGCGTGCACGTGAGCACCTGTGCACAAGATAGAGACAGAAAGACAGACAGAGACAGAGACAGACAGACAATGAGAGGGAAAGTAAGAAATCACCCTAGGGGAGGAGAATGACCACATTCCAATCCTTTCTCCTTCTGGGATCCATTCTCCTCCTGGGATCTTGGGCATGCATGAGCACACACACACTCACACACACACACACACACACCCAGTGTGATTTTCAAGCCACATCTGGGACTTGAACTGTGGTTGGCCATGTAACCACTATGCCATCTTCTGGCCCGCAGGCATGAGCTTTAAGCCACCGGGTCTGGGACTCAAACACAGCTGGTCATGTGAGAGTCCAGCGATGTAACAGTTATGCCATCTGCTGGTCTCTCCCCTTAAAAGTATTTCCTTTGGGGACCTGCAGTTGGAATCGCTATGTTGCTGGACTCACATGTGGTCGACCGTGGTTCAAGTCCAGGACATGGTGGCTTAAACTCACGCCAGGTGTGTGCACATGCGTGCCCAAGATCCTGAGAAGAGAATGGAGGGGAAGGGATTGCGGAGTGGCCATCCCCCCTGGGGGGTGATTTCCCGATTTCTGTCTCTCTGTCGAGCAAATGCACCCTATAGCAAAAACCTCTCAAAAAAAAAAGTATTTCCTTCCATGAGAGGAAGGATGGAGGGGCAGGGATCTCCCCTCAAACTCCATTGCAGCCAGCCATCACCAAGGGCGCCCAGGGTGCATTCAGGTACCTTGTGGATATAAACCAAGAACCCCCTCATATAGACTCCAACACTGTGCAGTAGGACCCCACCGCCTGAGCTACGACGGCTGGACCATCTGTCTCTGTTTTTATTTTGTAATTTACTTACTGAAGAAAGCAGGTTGTAGGCCCGTCCCATAGCCTAATAGTTAAAGGAACAGATCCCACACAGTCAACCACAGTTTGAATCCCTCTCTCAGGGGAATAGAAGGGATTGTGTAAGCACACCTCACTGGCTGATTTTTTCACTCTCTTTCTCCCTCTCTCTTCCTAGCGAGAATATGTGCCGCCTGCAATGAAACAAGAAACTAACAACAACAAAAATCCTCAGGTCACTTAACCTGAGGTTCCCCCAGTAAAGATGGTCTTCTTCTCGTTTTTTAATTACTTATTTAATTCCATTTATTATTACTATTTTTAAAAATTTGACCAGAGAGAGACAGAGTGAGAGAGAAAGGAAAAGCGAGAGAGCAAGCTGCCAGATCCAGAACTCGAATTGTAGTTGGCCACGTGGGAATCCAGCACCTTTAACCACCATGCCACCTGCCGGCCCCAAGACTGTCTTGTTTATATTCCCATGGTGTCATGTAGCATGTTCCCTTGATCCAAATATAAGAGAAATATAGGGATACTGTGTAAATTAGCAGTTTAAGATAAATGTATACTCAGGTTTAGGTGCTTTTATTCCTTTGGTAGACTTGCGGGGCTTGGTGTTTACTTCCATCACGTGGGGCACAATACTGGATTGTCAACGACCACCGGTAGATGCCAACAATATTTGCTATTTCTTTTTCTTTCCTTCTTTCTTTCCTTTTCTTTCCTTCTTTCCTTCCTTCTTTCTTTCCTTCTTTCTTTC